AAAAAGAATCCATAAATCACACATCAAGAACATATAACATTAGAATATTATGTTAATAATCAAAACCTTAGGTTTCTTTTTAGACTAGCAGTCACTAGAATTACAGCATTTCCGAAAATCTTCGAATTCAAAGGCGCAATAGCAACCATTAAACAAGGACAAGGTCAAATCTTGGAAGGAAATTTCAATTTGGTGCACATCATTGATTTAAAGAGCTATGACGAGGTTATACAACAAATCATTCCTTTGGTTGATGGAATCAACTCGACCAGCATAATGAAACCACAGTTAGAACACCAACTGGCTCAAATAATGGAATTTCTGACTAAATTGAGAAGCAGCAAATCAAGAGTTCAACGGTCAATAAATTGGATTGGTACAGCATGGAAATGGCTGGCAGGAACACCAGACGCCACAGACTGGGACAACATCGTTACAAGCCAAGACAAGCTGATACAAAATAATAATCAACAGTACAAAATAAATCGTGAAGTTATGAGGATAACAAACCAAGTAGTAGAAAGATTTAACCACATTTTGGAACATGTAGGGAACTTAGATCATCGATCCGAACAAATAATATTTAACAAACTTGGAATCATAAAAGAAGCCTTGGGAGAAATCGTGTTAGCGACAGAATTAGCAAAAAATTGAATTGTCAACACAAATCTTCTTAGCAGGATTGAAATCCAAAAAATACTGAAGGAGATCGATACACTACCCTACGTCAACGAAATTGAGGCAATAGAATACGCAAAACCACAGGTAGTAACCAATGGACGAGAAATTCTCTACATATTATCAATACCGAAGACAGGCAACCAGTACTATGACCACATTATAGCGAGATCAACAATCCGAAACTCCCAACAAGTCTACCTCGAATATCAGGAACTTCTCGTGAAAGATGACGTATATGGCATATCGACAAAATGCGAGAATTTAAGAAACATCACCATATGCGAAAGAAGTAAAATTCGAAAACTGGACGAAGGACACTGTATGTATCAACTGCTAAAGGGAATAAACGCCAGTTGCAGCCTTCAATACAATAAGGAAGAAATCATAGAAACCATAAGTGAAAATATCATCTTTCTCAATAATTTCAATGGGGAGCTAACAAGTGGCAACACGAGCAAACACTTAACTGGAAGCTTTATGATACAGCATACCAACGAAACCGTTCACATAAAAGGTCAGAAATTTACAAGCGAATCTGCCACCACGTCGCAAGTTTTACCACCTGTTCTTCAAGAAAATTTAAAAGAAGGAGATATCAAGCTAAGCCTCGACTACATTCACGATCTTCATATCAGCAACACAAAACAACTTCAGAAGCTAATACCAAGGAGCCAACTCTCTATAGCATCCGATATTACTATAGGACTCGTCATCATTGCAGTCATCATCATTTGGGTCATCAAGAAAAACATCAGCAAGGTTGTGAGAAAACGCACTCCAACAGTGGTTCCTACTATAGAGATTCCGCAAATTTCAGTCATAGAAGCACCAAAATTCCAGCTTGATCTACGGGACGCAGATCTTTGAAGGGGGAGGAGTTATCACCGTCTTTAGTTACATATTCAAGTGGTATCAAATTACATCTTCAGTACGATACTAATTTCTGTTCACATGAAAATTGCTGACACAGCGTCTGCAATCGAACATGTTTAAACATGAAGAAATTACGAAATTATCGTTCCCATCAAAAATGCTGACGAAACGTCTATAATTTTGCACGAGGCCGGAAATGAACTTAATTTTAATTACTATAAATACTGTTAGATTTTAAGATATAATTTAGTCTAAAATTGGTGTTAATAAGAATAGAATATTATAATTAAACTATCAATTCGAATTTAAGTAATTGTAAAATTTAATTTTTAAGTAATAGTTGTGACATTGTGTGAAATAAAATTATTTTTTTATAATCGAATCAAGATAGTTTAATAACTTGAATAATTACTTTTATTTGTCAATAAAATTTGACAAAGGAAATTCTCAATATTTATCAAAAATAAACATGAATTGTACTGAAATATGTTGCCAGAGTCTTGTAGTTAATGACAGTTTTATTATTAAGAATAATTTGAAAGCCGAAGAATAATAATTAGTTTACTAAATATCATGGGTTATTTTTCATAAAATTAATTTATGAATGTTTTAGTTCAATTGAAATATTAAATGGCTTTAGAATTATATAAAAATTCTAATATTTTTTGAAAGAGATTAAAAAATAAATCTGTTAATACTCGTTTCCGATTCCAGTTTTTTTTAAATAATTTTAAAAAGAAGTGTTATTTAGTTCCTAAAAGTTTGGATTCCTAATAAGTTATTGCATTATTTAGAAATAAATTTTTAACAGTAAAAAGGTTTACAATTTCATCCTGCCTAAAAAAGAATAAAATATAATTAATAAGTTTTTTTAACAGAAGAATTAATTTACAAATAATTATCTCTTAAAATTAAAGCAATATATTTATAAAACTAAAAAAAAAAATTACTATATTTTTGATATTTTATTAATATTTTTTAAATATTATCGAAAATCGTGATAGAACAAAAATTAATTTTAATAAGATAATTAGAAAAAAATAAAATTATATAAAAATTATGGTTTGGAAATGAAATGATATGAAAATTTGAATTAACATTTTAAATAAATTAATGGAACGAAAATAATTTAATTTATTATATCATATACATATAAATAGAAATATACATAGTATATATACATACATAATATATATATATAAAATAAAATAAGTATATGTATAAATATATATATTAAAAAAAATATATTTAACAGAACGTTCATTTTTAATAAATTTATAAAACAAAAATATTTCTTAATATTTATAAAATATATACAATAAAAAAAATTTGAATAAATGTTTTTCAATTCTATTTGAAATTTAAATCATTATTTTTCAATTGTATTGATATTTGATCCGATAATTTAATAATAATAATTTAAAATAATTTTTTCTGTATAATTTGCAAAATTATAAAGTTTTCATTCAGAAAATTTAATTAAAAAAACAATTTATTTACAATAAAATAAACATTCTCTTAAATATAATTTTTTTTAAAATATATGAAAAAATAGAAAACATTTATTGAAAAATTGTTTTTTTTTTTTAAATAAATATACAAAATACAAATTTTTAAAAAAAATTTTTTTAAATATTAAATTTTTTACCTTTAGTTTTAAAGTATTTGTTTTTTAAATTTATTGGTGCTTTCATTTAAGTGTCAGTGGACAAAAACATTATGACTTTTCATCATTTTAATTAATTTAAAATTTTAACAAAACAATAAAATTAAAATAAAAACTAAATTATAAAAAAAAATAATAAACTAAATCAAAATAAAAAGCATTATGCAAAAATTAACAAAAAAATTCATTTTTCAAATCACTAATTTTTAATTAATTAAATAAATATTTAAAAAAAAATACAGGCAATAATATCGAAAAAAAATTTTATTTTATTTTTTTAATATAAAACTTGCTATTTATTATTTATTATAATAATTAAAATTTTTAATTATACTTCAAAAAAAAAAATGTAATTATTTAAAATTCACTCAATCATTACACTATAAATTTTTATAATTACAAAAAAACTCAAAAAATGCAAGTATAAATTTGAGAATAAAATGTGCAATTATTATTATTATTATTATAATTCAATATTAATTTTATAAAAATTATGTGTTTTATTTAATTATTATTTTCTTTTAAAATATAATATAGATTATAATTAGTTAAATAACATCGATTTTTGAATTTTAAATTTAATGATATAAAAATTTTGAAAAAAAAAGAATCTACAATATATTGAGAATGCAATTCAAATTATTGATGATTGTATGAAATTTTTTAAAATTATGATTGTAATTTTACAATTTTATTATTTTTAAATTTTTAAATAATAAGGATAATATAATTTAATTGAGAAAAAAATCTAATTATTAAGTTATTGCAAAATGATAAACTAAATTAAAATTAAAAAAGGAAATTTATAATAATACTGCGACAGGAAAATTCTATTTTATAATTTAACTAAAATTATAACAATTTCTTCCAAAATAAAAAAAAAACAGAAGTTTAGATTTTAAAATCATTAACTGAACTGTTAAAATTATGTAAACTAGTATATTAAATATTTAATTACGTTCTTAAAGATTTATTATAAATAAACTAATTTATTTTATTTTGAAATTTTTTAAAATCTATAGTCAAAAATTTTGGGGTGAATCAATTTTTTTAATTCAATTTTATTTTGAATTTTTAATTATTTAGATCGATTTCTAATGTAATTTACTTTAATTTTGACAAATATTTGTAGAATTTGTAATATTAATGTAAAACGAGGAAAATAACATTTAATGAATTTTGTCTATTGAAATAAATTCAATTATTAAAATCAATTTAATAAAATATTAACAAAAAATTCATCATTTTTAAAATGTGAAACATACCATTTTTTACATTTTTAATTTTCACCATTTTTGAATATTGAGATACAAGACAGTTCTCTTTAATTACTATTAGTAATTAATTATACTTCAAAAATTGTACGCAAATTTTGCAAATACAAAAATTTTTGAACAAATTTATGTATAAATATTAAATGATAACTAATATGAAGCTATTTTAACTTCTGATTAAAAACTAAATTTTAAAAAATTAGTATTTAGTTAAATGTTTTTTTAAAAGTAAGTATAAAACTAAATAAATAAATATCAAAGCTTAGAAGCAGACAGCAAATTAACTTTTAATTAATACAAAATTATTTTAAATAGACTAAAACCAAATACAAAGAAATAAAATTACAAGAAAAAAAAATTAAATCACAATTAACCAATGAACAAATTAAATTTGTTAGAAAGAAAAGAAAAAACCAAGTTAAATTAAACCCATAAAATTAAATACAAAAAAAAAGAAAGAAAAACAAATTAAAATTCTCTAAAAATTCTTCTACAATTGTACCCACCTTACTATAATGCGTGCCGCTTCCAGAGCGTTGATTATACCCATTTCCACGGTCCATATAAGTTTTTACCTGTGTATGATCCCTGTCATATATTGATTGTTGTGCTCCAGTTGAATTTTGTGCTCCCGGATGATGTCCATTACCACCCATCGTTCGATTTGAATTACCAGAATTTTGATTACGGCCACAGCCACTACCGTCTCTTTCACTTGTTATCGTACTAATTGCTTGATTTTCTTTATTTGATCTTCTAGCTGCATATTTTTCAGGTTTTAACAGACTAAAAATTAAAAATCAAAAGAAAAATTATTTATTTTATTATAAACAACTTTTTTTTTCTCAAAATAAAATTAAAAAAAAATAAAATTACCTAGGATATTGTGGTCCAAATTGTGTATAACAACAGTTATGCCAACAACCTTTTGAAAATGGATTATAACCACCTTTAAATTTACCAGTTACTTGTTCGTTCGTAGTTCGCCCTCTTGATACTAACACCATATGAAAACCGGTTAAACCAAATATAGGTATTGATAATACTGTGACAATACCCATTAAACACATACTGCTTTTTTTTAAAAATTCAAATTTTTAATTAAGGAAAATTTTTATTTAAAAATTTCTTAAAATTTAATAATTTACTTTTAAAATATTTTCTATTGAGATTAAATGTTACTAGATTGGATTTTGATTATTTTGAATTAAGACTTTTATTTCATACTCTTGGCTTCAGCAAGATGTTTTAATTTCAAATTCAATCTTTTAATTTTATTCGCAAAAGTAAAAATTCTTTTATTGAAAAATGCATTTAAATATTTGACATTAGTTGACTGTTCAATAAAATTTTCTTTAATAAATTTGACAGACTTGCCATATTCTTCATATTTTAGAAGAAAAAAATAAAATTCAAAATATCGCTAACTTGCTTTTTATGACCCACAATTATGTAAACTAGACAAAATAATAAGTTTTTGATGAATTTTATTTAGTAATAAATTATGAAATGATTTCATATTTTAGCATCATTAGCCATGCTGATATTGCGGCTTATAACAGAATTTAAATCTCATTGAATTTTTCACTATTTTTTTTAGAGGCCGTTCTAACTTTTTTACGCATTTTTAGCGTGAATAATTCTGGTATATTTTTTTTCTATTTGAATTTACCTATAAAAAACACATAATCCCACATAACCTTCAAAACATCGATTTCGCATTAAAAAAATGAAAGAAATAAAAAAAAAATGGAAATATCAGTTTTGCTTTTTGTTTTTTTTTTTAATTTAAAGAAAAAATAAAAAACATAAAAGGTAGACAATTGTTAGACATTGTTTTATTTTACTTTTTTGTTTGTTGACGTAATTTTTCTCACTTTCCTTTTCAATTTATTTCACGTGTTGTAAATAACAATTAGAAGCAGTATTCTGTAGTTCAGTTTATGACTACTTGTTTAAAGACACATTTTTGATAATAAATAAATATTAAAAGAAATTGAAAAATTCATAAATTTTTTTGATTGAAAAAATTTAAAAGAGCAGCACTGTTAGTGCATTTCTGTTATTGCATTTTAAAGACACTTAAGTTATTCCTCATTTTATGATCACAATTATTAATTTTGATGTAAAATTAAATTCAAAATTTAATTAGTCTTAGTTTATACGTTGAGTGTTTAGTTAAAAGTATATTAAAGTAGGTAACCAATTAAAAAAAAAATATTCCCTTAAAACATTGACAGATGGGAAACTAATAAAAAAAAGCGATTTTATTGCACAAATCTGTAAAAATTGTTTGAAATTGAGAACAATAATTTTCATACCCCTAAATAAAGTTTATATTTGCTTTCGAACCTCATAGTACAAAGAAATACTTTATATACATACGAGTATGTAGGTATGGATTAAAAAATGGGGTGCGTTTTTTTTGTATAAAACACTATTTATATTTTTTATAGCAAACATTTTCAGTTAAAACAAAAATTAACATTAAATAAAAATTGTTTATTATGCAGGTTTTCGTAATATTTTTGTCAACATTATTAGTGAAATAAAAAAATTGTGACATTAAAACAAAAACAAGGTCAATATTTATAAATAACAAATAAAAATATGTGTCAATAATTCTAAAGCAAGAAGATATTCGAAAATTAAGAGCCAAGGAAGCTAATGTTTTAATATGGTTGATAAGTACGACTTATTGGAATCTTAGCATAAAATTAATTACCATTTAAACTTCAAGATCAATATTATTGCAACTATAATGAAGATTTCAAAATTTAAGAAGTTCGCAAAAATTATTCTCATTTAACTTCGTTGACAAAATCTCACAAATTGAACTTTAGAACCTATCAATAGAATAACTAAAATATGGTTTTATTACAAATTTAAGCATAAATTCAACTATCAATTTGTTTTCAAGAAAAAGAGAAAAGAAAGCAAGAAAATTTCAAAATTTTATTGGCCCCATATTATGCCGTTTTTCATCAATCCAAAACTTGTAAACTTTTAACAACCTGTTTTTTAACCAAATGAAATTCAAAATTCAATACTTCTTGACAAGTTTATAAAATAATTTTAAATTTTCTGTTTTTTTAAAAAGGATACGCTACTATTGGTGCTGTTTCCGTTAAATTATTTTTATGTTTTAAAACATAATATAAGCATAACGAAAATATGCTTAACATATGTATCGATAATGATATGAGGAAAAAGAAAAAAAATCGGTAGTTCCTTCGTCCAATGCAATTATTGACCCATGGACAATGATGATCAAAAGTCTAAAAAATAAAAAAACACAAACAAAACAAAATTAATTAAATATATTTGAGCTTAAATTTTAATAATTTTAAAAAATTCTTACTTCTATACAGTGATTGCATACTGAACAATGTGAACATCTGGGTGGTCGATAAAATTTACATGTTACACACCATTTCATTCGTACTGTAATACCATTAATTTCGGCATTTTTATATAATGGTGCACGAAATTCTTCTTCACGATCCTCATCTGGTGGAGCTAAAATATACAAAATTTATTTCAAACAGTTAAGTGTTTTGCCAATTATTTAATTAATTATGATTTTACCTTTCGGAATAATTCCTGGATCCATAAATGTGGCTAAAGTGAAATTTGCTATTACAAAAAATGTTATCACACCTTGATATGCTGGTACCCATGGATGACGGAAAATATAATATTGACATCTGTAAATATTAGGAAAAAAAAGAAGATTTTTTAAATTTTTATGGAATTAAATGAAAATTAAGTATTAAGATTTTAATTTAGGAAAACTTGCCGCTCTAATTTATATGTTGCATACTGATTGTTAATAAGTAATAGAAAAGATTAAACTATTTTATTAAACCAGTGCATTTAAACCAGTTTAAATAATTTAGTAAGCAGCCTCTTTGGGTAAATACCCAATACATTCGAGTTTAACTACATTTTACACAGATTTTACTTCTTAATAACTCAAGCAATAAAAATTATGTTTTAAATTGTTTTCGTCCTCACAATTTCAAAAATTTGAAAATTTTTTTTAATTTCCCTAAAAATTTAATTCTGACTGAATAAATAAGTAAATAATACAAGTGAAAGTAAATAATAGCTAGTGAAATTAAAATTTAATTGTAAGTTACGGTATATAAACGGTTGTAAAAAATTTTAAGTATGGCAAAAATAGGGGAAAAATGGAATCACAATAACAAATTTTATTAGTTACATTTTTAGGGTGCACAGATGTACGCATACGAACAAACGTATCAAAACTAAAAACAAAAAAAACATAATAATAAAATAATACAAAGTTCAACTTACAAGAATAAATTTTATTTATGAAAGTAGAACGGTAATTCATTTTTTTGTTCTCTTCTAACATTTTCTGACCTATAAATTTATTTTATTTTTTTTACTTTCTCCTTATACTCTCCCATTTTATAAATACACCGTAAAAACTTAGTGCTTATGTATGTAAGTATGTGTATAAATCTTTTTTTTTCGCAAATTTACCGTTAATTTGTAAATTTAATTATATGACTGTCAATTGTGTCACCAATCCTAAAGGGAAATTAATTTTCAAAATAAAAACTCAAGTAAAAGCCTACCCTAAGGTTATTTTTAAGTAATACAAGAAAAAGTTATATTAGTAAAATAAATAATAATGTATGTATATGTATATATGTATGTATATAAATTTGTACATTAATTTTTGAAATATTCATATACGTATACATTATAGCATATAACATGGATATACGTAATTATAAGAATGTACCTTATTTTTCAAGTAGAAAAAATAAGAAAATCAAAAAGTACATAATTTGTTATACGATGGGCGAAATTTTAAATCTGAACTTCAAAAATAAAAAATATGAATTTAAAGTTTAAAGAAAAATTACATACAAAGACAGAAATTTCGTAGAAAAAGCATAATTTATTAGAAATAAATCTGAAAACTAGTAATACGTTTATATATATATATATATTGTGTACATGAAACGTTATTTTTAATGAAATCTTTTCAACTATTTGCCTAAAAATTTACTGAAAATATTTAATTATACCTATCATAGAAATAGTTCATATGATCTTACAACCAGACAAGTTCTCTTTTCCAAAAAATCTCTAATTTTATCAGTACCTTTATAATGTGAGAATATATACCAAATATATTCGTTAACATTTACATTATATAGTACTCTTAACATCGACATAAAGTTAAAAATAAGTCCTCATACTTGTACATACTTGTAAGTATGAGAAATTCAAAGAATTAGTAGCTTTAGCTGAAAAGTGAACATATTTCCTTTAAAGAAAGTATAAGAAACACCGTAAATAAGGCAACAAAAAAATTGAGTAAAATTTTTAGAAAATTTTATTAGAAATCCAGTATATTTACATTTTTATTTTCTATTTTATAAGGATAATTTCATTTAAATTACTACTTGGACTACATTGACAAAGAAATTTTATTTAAATCATTTACAACTTCAATTTAAGTGTCTGTCATATTGAAAAAACTTCAAATATAAATTTTCGTATTACTTAACCAAAAAAAATTTCACTTTAACAAAAGTATTCCCTTTCTTTGTAAATAAATTGAATTTAAAGTGAAAATTTGATTAACTCCAAAAAAAATCAATACTCTTAAAAATATTTTAAAATATAATTTAATTTTAACAGAACTAAGAAACAAAAATTAAATAAAACATTTATTAAAATTTAATTTCACGTCCTTCATAAATAAAATTTTACCATCTTCTTTTTTTTTATTTTTTAATGATATTTAGTTAATTAAAATCAATTAACAATATTAAAACATTAAAGTAAAATGTTTTGAGCAGGGTCGTAAAATTTTTACGCTTCATAACAGAAAAATTACATTTTTCATTTTAATAATACATGTTTAGTATATTTTGTATATGCTTGTGAATGTGTGTGGTTATTTCTCACATCCTTAAAAAATTATATACTTACTCTTTTTTTAAATAATAATAATAATTCAAAGCCATCACACAAATTATGAGAAAAAAAAGAATCTTATGTCATATTTTTTACTCATATGAGTTTTAAATTTTATCATATAAAATAAAAACAGAAATGAATATTGAAAAATTCCAAAAAACGTTTACAAAAACGAAAAAGTGGACCTTTTAATCTTTTTATTTTTTTCTTGTTTTTTTTTTGACATTTCATATCTACTACTTGGCAGACATAAAACAGAGAGAAAGCATTTAGGAACGAAGAAATTTCATTCTCCTAATGCATTTTCATTCCTTACTCATCGCTCAAATTGTATGAGTTTTTTTCTTCATAAAGCATTTTATTAATTGTGTACATATTTTTTTTTAAATTATGGGAACATTTTTACAATAAATATTATTTTATAAAAGTTTCTATAATAAATAAGAGTATTTGCTGAATGTTAAAGGTCACAATATTTAAAATTATTTGCCCATTTTGAAAAATATTTAAAATTCAAATTTAATTTATGAAATATTTTCATAGCATAAGTAAATGTAGTTTAATTCCATTTGCTATTATTAATTTTTAAAAATTTTTGAAATTAAAGAAAACTATATGGATATACATATGAGTACTTGTGACTTAATGTAAGTAGATATGCATGTTACACAATGCAAATAAAGGATGTTAGTGTATAGAAACATAATGAAAAATTTCAAAGGAGTTTTATATGAAAAAGTCTTTTCAATTATAAGGACAAAATCACCTATCGCTTTCATTCTCTCTTCTACAACTTTTTTACACTCAAGTAAATTGTATTTAGAAAAAAAAAAAAATGTACAAAAAATTTTTAAGTGTTGCTTTTTTTCCTGTACAATTTACGATATGAAATCTTGAAAAACAGTGTTGCAAAATGATATACGCGACGTAATTTTATGTATATGTATAACAGAATAACGAAATAATATTCTGTTATAAGTATAAAGTTCCTTTCTGTTTGTTTATTGCTCAACGTGTTTTCAAATAGAGATGATCTCTTTAGTTTGAATTGGAAAACTTTTTGATTATTTGATATCAGACTCACATTTAATGCGCAATTTCAATTACTTATTAATTATATGGAATAGTTGGAATGCTAGAATGTGCTAAATTCAGAACATTTCTTAACGTGGAATTATGAGAACGTGGTATAGTAGTACAATCGATAACAGTACAATGAAGGTTGAATTTAGTAAAGGTGAATAAAAGTAGATTAAAGTTTTTTAAGTAGAAAAGTGTCCGTTCCTCAAATAAAATTAATTAAACCAAAAAAATTATAATTTTTTCGTTACTTAACCGGAATAATGAACAGGAAAAGAAACATAAATCTTGTTTTAAATAACAAAAAACACTTAATCACATTTCTTAAAATTTTCATTTTGTAGTATTGTAACACTGTTTTTAACTTGAAAAAAAATGTACAGCATTCAATGTATTAAATAACTGTAATACATACACACGAACATATGTACATCACCTATGTACATCACCATATGGGGACGTGCATACGTATATTAGGATTTCCGTCATGATTATTTTACTCTATTTTTTTATTCTTCATAATCTCATGCTTTCCTGAAAATTTCCTGAATCTCTTCTGAATGATAATGTAAAAATAAATTAAGAGTAAATTCATATAATTCGTATTTCATGAAATTGTATATAATTAATAATTTAAAATTTCAATAGAAATTTCAAGAACAATAGGAAAATAATTACATAGATACATATTATATAAAAAAATATAAGAAGTTTAATTATGCAGTACTTTTTTAAGGCTTAAAATTGTTTCAAATATTAAAAATTATTTCTAAATTTACTCTACATAGATATTATTTTGTTTACAAAATATTTTAAATTTTATTTTGTTATTTATCTTAAAAATATTTGTATTTAACTTGCATAAAATTTATAATTGAAAGTATTCATTTTAAAAACAAAATTTATTCATCTGATAAAATTTCAGTAGAGAGAAGTACATATTATGTAAATATTCTTAAAATTCTAAATGCATATATTTGCCAATTAAATTCAATTTTCAATTCTTAATTAATTTACATATAAATCAAGTTTAAAAATGCAATAATTAAGTATAATTTGCTTTTTTATATGGTAATATTTTTGATAAATATGCAACGAATACACAACGTTCTTATCTCTTAAATAGTGAATCCAATTCACAACATTATTTTCATTTTTAGATCAAATTAATTAACTTGTTGCATTTATTTTTTTAAATATGAATTTTAAGCACAGAAAAAAATCATTATTATTTCATTAAATTTATTTTAATTTATGCAAAATCATTAATACATAATTAAACTACGTTAATAAATAAACAAACTATGTTAAATTAAAATCATTTTTAGATTTATGGTTTATTATATTTAATTTTAATTCAATTAAAATTAAATATAATGGTTATAATTATAAATCTTTTGTGAAATAATTATAAAATTGTTAATTTTAAATTATTTATATAGCTTAAAGTGTATATGCTTAGCTGATATTTTATGTTAAAATGAATTATTGATTAGAAAACTTGTAATTATTTATTTTTTTTAATGTGGTTTTGTTATAATTTTTTTAAACATACTCGGAAAATTCAAAAAAATTGTACAAACTATGTATTCTATACAAATATATATGTATGTTTGTAGATTTAAAAATCGATAGTTTGAATAAAAAATATAAAAATTAATTTCCAATTTGTGCCGAAAATAAATATACAATTGCAATTTTCAGTAAAGCAGTGTTTGTTTCATTATGGCAGCTTTTTTTTTTTACAATTCGATTATTGATATTTTTCGAATTTTTGTAGTAAGAAAATAAAATTTCGAAATCGAAAAAATTTTTTCGAATATGAATTTTGTTTTTATTTAAAATTGAGGAATTCTTAATAAAGCAGCGATTTTTAAGTTTTCGAAAATTGAAATTACAAAAGAAAAATAACTTTCGAATTCGAAAAAAAAATTTCGAACACAATATCGATTATCTTTACAGTTAAAAAAGTGAAACCGCATTCCAAAGACGACACTTCACAAATAATTAAATACACATTATTTTCGTAGTTCGGTTGTTGTAAGAAAAAGTTAAAATTTGCAATTCGACCTAATTCTTTAAAACATTTCTTTATAAAGCAAAATATTTTGTTTACAATGCAAAAATAAGAAATTTTTATTGCATCTGGGTTGCACTTCTAACATAATTCAATTTTAGACTAATAGACAATTAATTTTAATAAATTTACAACGTCGTTTTGTAATTATATCTTCGTCGTAATCACATTTATTATATCGTCGATAATATTCTTGATCGAAATTCGCTTATTGATATTTGACATATCAAACAGTAAGCGCAAAAATACTTTCAAAACAGTTAGCAATCCCAAGAAATGTAAAATTCTTACTTAATATGATCATTATGTATA